ACTGCAGGACTTGATGCTCAATTCTGATGTTTTTGTGAAATCAAATTTTTTTGTGAGTTCCTTCACATTTCCAGTTAAATGCGACTTGTATGTGATCTGCTGTGTGAACTTCATACGACCCAAAAGTGTCCCGCATGCGCAGAAGAGGACACGACGGATGGTAACGGTGGAGCGTATCTGCCACTTCCCCGCTGCCGCCATCAATGGTAGAAACAAAAGTGTGACCGCTAACTAAACTAGCATCAGCAGCCAAGTACTGCCTGTGTGTTCAGCCACTTCCACCCCGTCGGAGCGCTCCAACAGGGTGGAAATGGCCGGAACGTGCACAAGCGCGCTGGTCAATTAGGTGTGAAATCCAGCGATGCGTTATTATAAAAGCTATAAACAATAAATATTTACAACAAATGAGCCTTCAAGCATCAAGCCCTTCTTGCATCTCGACCTCCGTCTTGACAATCCGACATAAAAGAAGGTTTCACATTTAGCGTCGGATTATCGAGTCACGACTGTATCTTTATGGCAAATAACGGGGTTATAAATGTGAACGGATTATTAATGTGAACCACAGTGAAAGTGTCACTAAGAGGTGTTTTCTTCTTCTTTAATTTTTTACAACTATTACGCACAGACCATTTAGTTCATTTGTGTAAACGACCACTTGCGCTCTTCCTTTTGCTAATTAGTGTTATAACACACGGCTATCGAAGTTGCCCACTAATGTGCCTAATATTCTGATCTCTTCCCTCAGGGTTTCGCAGACAGCCCTCATTACAGCGATCATTTGAGTGACAGTCGATTAGTGTCCCATGAAGGATTGTCTCCAACACCTTTTATGAACTCAAACATAATGGGTAAGTAAGTGACTCCTTTCACCTCACCCCTCTCATGCCCTTTGGTGGTGGAAAGACGTCGTGTAAAAAAAACAAACTGCCTGACTGAGGCACATCATACATCTAGAGGTAGCAGCACTGAAAGGCTTGCCGGGCTACCGGACTATTTTCTCCCATCCTTCCTCCCCTAATCCCCCCTCCCCTCTCTGTATCTCCCTTTTCCTCCTCCTGTGATGACCCTCCCCCAGGCTAGAAGTCACGCCATCAGTATGGCTTTCCGTCATAAGAAGCTGTCTCCTAGACATCAAAACCGCCCTCAGCAGCTTCCACTGGCTTTGTGTTGTATGGGTTTAGGGTTAAACAGTTAGACAGTGGTATTAAAAGACCCTCTCACTGAAAAACTGTAGAATTTAAT